ACACACATGCAGACATACACTAGCATTTGTTCATTACCCATTCAGATTGAACTTCAAACTGAGCAGCAATAAATTAAAACGTGCAAACCTAACTAACAAAAATAATTGTTCTGAGAAGATTTAAGTGCATATAGATTCTTCAGTGGCTACAAATAAATGCAAGAGTATTGTTAGTTTGCTTTCCGGCGTTGAAATTTATACACTGAAGTCTCGTGGGTCGAAATGTTTATGCACTTCAGTTTAAAATCTATCGAGTAACGATCACTTTAGTTTGAAATCTATTGATCAAGTGATCGCAGGAGAAGAATGGCAAGAAGTTACAGAAGATTTCTTGTCAATAATATTTGATTAATTTAGATTGTCTTTAAAGATAATTGTGTTTTTTTTCTCTCTGCCTACAGAACCTTTTCATCGGAGGATTTCGAAAATGAGAATTGTTCTCGAAAGGAATCGCATAATAACATTGACTAGAGTTCTCCATGATTCTCATTAAAGTTACCAGATTAATGACATATTACTGAAATATGCCAAAATCTGAATGTCAAGCTAGGAAATAGCTATCTAGAACCTTGATTATAGATCAGTACATAAACCTTGGCACCAATTCAGTTATTCTCGTCTGACCACATCAATCTGGATGGGTGATTGTTCCACCTCAAAAAGCCAATAGGTCTGTCTTGTTTTCCTTCCCCTCTTTCTCCCCACACCCCCCACACTGTCCTTCAATCTATATTTCTGGTCTCTCGGCAACTCTCATATTCAGCATTTTTGGAGCATTCCTGCCTCCCCCACAACCCCTTCCCCAAGGCTGTTGAGCTGCTCATCTTCACCGCAATCATTTCTAGAGTCAATATAACTAAGGGTAGGGCGAAACCTTAGGCAAGTTTCCTTATTCGACACACCTGTTTACCTAGCAGTAAATAGGAATGTGGTTGTTAGTCGATATTAGCGGATCATTTTTCCAGGGGTAATAATGAAAAAATAATAATTTGGTCACTCAATTCACAACTGCTTGTGGGACACTACTGTGTGCAATTGGCTGCATTTCAACCACAAAATATACAGTCATTTCACTTTACAGTGTGTTCTGTGAAGTGCTTTGAGACATCTCGAAGGCGGGATAAGGTGATATATCAAATGCAAGGATTATTATTACTCTAAATTCTTGCTCCCTAGACTCACAGCTCCTCCCTATGCAAGCTGCAGACAATCCAGAACCTTGCAGCCTGTGTCTTCTTTTGTACCAGGGACCACAAGCCCATCACCTCCTTCCTTCTTTGGCTCTGCCTGCTCTCCATTCCCCCGCAGATCAAATTAAAGATTTTTTTTCTCATATTCAAATGCCTCCATGGCCTTGCCTCACCCGAGCTCTGCAAGGTCCTATGACCCTATGACTGTTCTCTCCACTCAGCACCCAATCTGATTCATGTCCTCCATCAGGTGAGATGTCAGCCATTCTGCTCCTGTTCTCTGCAACTCCATGCTGGATTTCCTCTGCCTTGGCACTTTTCTCTCTACCTTCAAATTCCAACTTAAAATCCATTTCTTTGACCATGCTTTTGACTACATTTTCCTTCCAAAACTTGGGCTCCCAGTTACTTGTGTGAAGTGTTTTTCTCCTCACAATCTGGAAGATGCTATATAATTCTTCTATGCAGTATTGGATACTAAGAGTTCAGTAGAATCACATATAATGTATATCTTAACTTTAAACAAGACAAATATGGGGGGATGGGGGAAATGTGCATTTATTTCTATTGGACTGCATTTCTCAGAGTTCAGCAGTGGTGTCTACCTTGTCAAGGTCTCCTGTAAGATCTTGATTATCTGCTCTGATTCCAGTTCTTTCTTGTTTGGTATCATCTTTATTAAGTTACATCGAGTCTGTGAATTCAAGTCATTTAGAATATTCACCCATAGATCTTTCAACGTTTCTTAATTTCACCAGTGGCTTGAACATGTTAGACTGAACAATGTAAGGTCAAAAGCACGTCAACATGGACCATTCGCTCAGGACACAAGTGAAAGTCGTATTAAGAGTTCTAAATAAATGCTTACTATTTAATAGAGGAGCTATAGACTTTCTCTGATTAATCCTGTACCATAAAATCAGATCATGATCTTGAATTGGAATCATAAGGGGAGGAGAAAACAAATGTTTTCTTTTGGTCAACTGTGTATGTAACACATGTAGAAACCATCACCAAGTTTCAAGAGTTGACAAGAACAACTTTATATAGCACACTTAACACAGGTTAGAATCTCAGAGTGCCCGATCCAAACTAGAAATGTAGTATGCCACCTTCGTATGGAAATTTTCCATTGTCTGCAATTTGATTCCAGAAAGTCTAATTGAGTTGGTGAGAGCTAAGGCTTGAGAGTTGCAGAGTGTGTGAAAGGGTTATTTTGACTTGTAATGGTAAGCAACATGGAACTGGAAGCTTGATTTACATTTCCTGCTCCTAATCATATGACATTCAAAACAAAAGCCAATTTTGGAATCGTGCTTATCCTCAAATTTATTAATTATTGAGCCTGCACTTTGACCATATCATAGAATCATAGAATTATATAGCGCAGGAGGCCATTCGGCCCATCGTGCCTGTGCCTCAAGACCTTTCTCTTCAACCGTGCCTTCACCTCCCCTCTCGACTCTCTACCCCCTCCTCGCTCCCTCCCCCTGACCATTTCCCCCCTGCTCAGGTCCCGACCCAACTGTCCAGCGCCTTGGGACGTCCTCCCGACGTGAAAGGCGCTCTATAAATGAAATGTTGTTGTTGTTGTTGCTGCCAGTTCTTTGAAAAGAGCTATCCAATTCAATCCCACTCCTCCGCTCTCTTCCCATAGCCTCATAGTAAGTTGAGTTCAATGTGCAACCTAGCACTACTACAACACCAACAACAACAAAATTACATTTATATAGTCCCTTTCACATAGGGAGGATGTCCCAAGGCACTGGACAGACAGTGTTATGGACCCAAGCTGAGGGTTGGGGTGGAGGGCAGGGGGAGAAGCAGAGAGATCTGTGGGATGGAGTTCCAGAGTGTGAGGGCAGAGGAACGACAATAGTTAATAAATTAATTTTCATTTTAATAGCAATGAGTCATTTTTAATTGTGTTTAAGACAAAAGGCCAATTGTAATAAGATATGGAGTAGGCAAGAAAAAATAAATGAGATGTAATTCAGCAACTGGAAATAAGTCAAACCAGTATACTGAAAACCAGTATACTGACTTGCAGAGCCCACTGAAATTTAGCACACTATCTAAGCTTAACTCTGAGGAATGGCCAGTAATTCTCAATGTCAGTCCATGATAACCTCAGGCTTGTTCTATACCACCAATCTTTTTAGATTGACTGACTTGCCAGGTTCATATACTAATCCTTTTCTGCATTATATTTTAAGAACCCAAGTATTAATGTTGAACCACTGGGGCGCTCTAGGTAACTAAGCCTGTTGATACCTACAACACTATTCTAGCAAGTCAGTGTCTTCAGAATAACAAAGAAAACTGGAAAAACCACAAACTCCTGTCAAAGTACTGTCACAGTGTATCCTGTCAAGCATTTTAAGACATCATCTTGACTTGAAAGATGCTATACCAAATATTATTATTATTACTACACACTAGCTTATTCAAAATCAAAAGCTTGATATCAAAATTTGATCTTGACTATCTTATCCTATCCCTTCTTCTATTGCCGTGGTAATACCCTAGTAATTTGGCATCAAATATTTTTAGTCATTGTACCAACCTATTCCTGATCATTTTGCTTCAAAATTTGAAGACTGCAATAAGATTCTGAAGATATGGCAGATCTATAGATTGCTCCATGCTGGGCACATGTTGACTTGAAATTATTTTTGCGCAAGTTGCAAATGCTGATATTCCGAGAAGCGGGAAGAGAAAGAGAGCGGTTGGGAAATATCCTATAAATTTGTATCCTTACAGGAAGGTTATAATGTATATAATACCCTTCACTCTGCAGGGCTGGGTTTGCTAGCTTTCACTTAATGTCATTCTGAGACATGTGGAAACCCATCACCACGCTTAGAGTATCCAAACCGTGTTGTGGAGTCCTGTATCGTGGGGTCCTGTAGCTCAGTGGTTAGAGCACTCACTTTGCAAGCGAGAGACCTGAGTTCAATTCCAGGCAGGTCAGGGTGAAACCTTGGGCAAGTTTCCTTACTCCACACAGAGCCTAATAATAATCCCTCCAAAACCAAAACCAATAATAAATTGGTCATTTTCAATCTACGACTGTTTGTGGGACATTGCTGTGCGCAATTGGCTGCCGCGTTCGCTCACAAATATACAGTCAATTCACTTTACAGTGTGTTCTGTGAAGCGCTTTGGGACGTCCTCCCGACGTGAAAAGTGCTATATCAAATGCAAGGATTATTATTATTATTATTACTAAACCAAGATTTCGATGTGTCCCACCGACACGCGGAAATCCCAGAGATGTTCGCCGGAATGGGGATGCGCGCGCTCTCCCTGGAGGGCCGCATCCCGCTCGCATAACACCGGGAAGCATTAGGCACAGGGGACCCCAGAGCGTGCGTTGGGGCACAAGCCCTCAGCGTCGCAGCCCGGCGAGCTTTCCCGCTGCGAGTCCAGAGCCGTGCACCGCCCTGAGCGAGAGGACTCCCGCCCGGCCCGCGGTGACTGGGCTGCCACTCCAGGTCCTGTGGATGGACCGGGCGGGGAGGGGCGGGGCGGGGGGGGGGGGAGGGGGGGCTCCAGCCACATCTGTCAAAGCCGCGCGGCTGCCCCACTCCCGGCATGCTCCTGGCTCACCCCCCCCCCCCTCCCCCACCCCGGGGGCGGCCGGCGTGACGTCAGTGCCGAGTGAGTGCCGGCCTGGAGAGAGTGGGTGAGAAGCCATGGCGGCGGGGAGCTAGTCAGGCAGTCAGTCAGTCAGGCAGGCAGGCAGTGCGTGTGTGTGTATGGGAGAGGGAGACAGAGACACCCGCCCCCCCCCCACCCCCCCACCACCACACACACACAAACCCGAGTGACAGAGCGAGGAACGAGAGCGGAGGAGGAAGGGCACAGACAGACAGACGGTTCGGGGGCGGGATAAGAAAGTGCGGATAAGACGAGGAGGAACCAAGGGTACGATAAGTGACGTTAAGCCGGTGGTTTGGTCGGTCGCGGGCCGTGTCGGGTCGGTCTGGCCGGTGTGTGTGTGTGTGGGGGGGGGTCTGTCCGGCCGGGCCGGGCCGGGCCGATGATCCGGAGCCGGCGGTTGGCGGTTGGGGCGGCCCGCGCCTCGCGACGCTGCGCTCGAGCTCCCGGGTCCCGGACTGCGCCGAGCGCCGCGCGCGGGGAGAGCCGGAGCTCTCGCGCTCTCTCGCTCTCTCTCTGTGTGTGTGTCCCGGCGCTGGGGCGGCGCACCCTCCGGCGGGCGGCTCGGGGGGGGGGGGTAGGAGGCACGCGCTGACCCTGGGGCTCACACCCCAGCGCTAGGCCCCGGGTCACCGGCCCTCGCCGCAACCCCTCTCCCTCTCTGCTCGGCCCTCGGGTGTTTGGGGGCAGTGCGTTTCGCGAGCCCCACGGTCAGACCCACCAGCGCCTGCTTTTGTTACTCGCGGTTTAAGGCCCTGTCGGATTCCCGTGGTCGCGCTTTCGTGTGTATATCATGTAACGCGCGGGAGCTTCGCAAGAGGCCGAAGATTTTTTTTTCCCCCAAAAGAAAGGCGAGGTGTTTCTTTTTTTTCTTCGCGTACGTATGTATGTATTTTCCTCCCATCTTCTTTGTTTGGCATTTTCTTTTCTTGGGGAATTGGGTGAAATCGTGTCACTCTCTTTCCCCCCCCACCACCACCACCCCTACCCCCACCCCCCCCCCCCCCCCACCCTCTTTGCTCGGTGACGGCTAACGTTAGGTTCAGTGTTCTCTGGAAATGGGAGATATTCGGATTAAATCGTTAACAGTTGCCGCAACCACGACGTGCCAGAAGGTTTCGATGAATCGCGATTGTAGTTTTCATCTGCGTTTATTCTGGAAGTAGCAGCAGTAGGTCCGCATGGTAAATCAGCAGAGTTACAGCAAAATGAAACCAAAGCCCTCATGATGGATTAGATGAACAAAAGTAGAACATCTTGTGCTTTCGTTGATGTTCAAATGTGTGTGTTTTTTTTAAAAAAAAGAAAAGTCGTTTCGTTTAAGAAACTTTTAGTCGAGGCTGAGGGGTGATTTTTTTTTTGGCAGTTAGTGATCGTGGTGTTCTGGCACGTAATGCTTGTTTACCTGCATTTGAATAAGTACAATTATGTGATGATAAGAAACCTTCTAAATATTTTGAATCTCTTTAATGCAGAAAGCGGGGTTCGCCTTTGAAGAGTAAACGGGGGTGCAGAAGGGCTGTGGACGGATAACGATTATCGGCAGTGTTATTTCAGAGTGGGAACTTCCAACAGTTTTCAAGCTTGAGTGAAGACTTCCATCCGATCCTTCCCTTTTTAAACCTGCAAATGGAGGGTCACAATGACGAGGAAAGCGTCAGCAACAGCAGTGGAGACTCAAGGTATTAAAATATTTATTCTTAGTGATGGTAACAAGGGGAATGTATTGAGGTTGGTTCTAACGTTTAAACTGTAAACCCTTCGCACATCGATCTCAATCCTATGTGTAACACGTTCAGAAACCGGAAGATCTTTCCTTCATTCTCCCTCAGTGATGTAAATAACGTTGCTACAGTGTTGCTCATATGATTTTTTTTGTGTACATGGGATTGGTAACGCTGCCAGATAAAAATAAAACGATTGTGTTCCAGCAATGAACATAATGTGGTTTGCACTGTATTTATAGATATGGAGTTTTTCTCATTTCAGGGATTTGTCAGAATTTATATATTTTTATGTTTCCTGCCAGCTGAACTCATAACTATGTTTAATATTGTCATGTTGCAAAACGACCTTTTCCCTATTGCATAGGAACTATAATCCAAATGAATTAAAACGAGTGTGGTCCTGTATAAGATAACTGTATGAATCATTGAGAATCCTGGTTAGGGAGATTAGTGGTAGGAAATAAATCTAAAGAGTACTATGTACAGTTCTGGTCACTGCAGTACAAAAAGGATATTGGAGAAATCGAGAAGATACAGAGGAGAGCAACCAAAATGATTGAGGGACTGGAAGGACTGACTATGAGAAGTGACTAAGTATATTGGGTTTGTTCACGCTGGAAAAGAGAAGATTGAGAGGCGACATGATTGCTGTCTTAAGATTCTAAAGGAGCAAAACAATATACATCACGACAGACTGTTTCAACTTGTCCAGAACAGCAAAACCAGAGGACACGGCCTGCGGTTGAAGGGGGGGAAATTCAGAACAAGTCTACTTCAGTGAGCGAATAGTGAACCTGTGGAATAGGCTCTCCGAAGGGAGATGGTTGAAGCAGGAAGTATTGATTCTTCCAAACACAGATTAGATAGTTTTCTTTTAGGAAACCACATTATGGGATGTTGTGCATAGGTAGTTCGGGACATATGTGCATGCGGTTGCCAGGAAGGTGGAAGGCGAACTAGATCGACTTTGGTCTTTTTTCGTCTAGCATTTTTTATGTTCTTATGTTATAAGATATAAATTCTGTTTAAAAACTTTTTGATAAGAAAATTGTGAACAAAATGACATGATGTTCATTGGTTTAATAATCTTCTGGATAACTGAACTGCTTAACATCTAAGCGTGTGACTTGTAATAATATGGCATCCTGATCTTTCAATGCTAGGCTGTTCAATGGCAGAGAGAGGTGCCTGGTTAGGGAGACTAGTGGTAGGAAATAAAATAAATCTAGGAAATAAATCTATACTGTACATTTTAGACAGTGTGCACAATATTGTATTTTATTTTATCTGATTGCCTATTCAGTAGGCACATATTTGTGTTCTTTGTTTTAAAATACTTGAAACTCATGTCAAGTCAATCTAATTCAATATGAAACTAGTATATATTATATGGGATATTTTCTAGAAACAACATCCATACTCTTCCAACACCCACACCATAATTTGATATTTACTCCGTTTGATTTGGTTTGGGTTCAAGTTCAACACTGACCTCTCGCTAAGCACCCTTGAGGTGGAGTCAGCTTTACAGTTGCCAAGAACCCCCACATAAAGATCTGATTTAAGCAGGTTATCTTGTGGTACTGCGTAAGCCTGGTATGCTTGAGAACACCAAGGTGGCTGGCACATCGCAAACTGTCCTATAAACGTCCTCTCAGATCGCTGATTAGGAAACTTGCAGGGAGTTCCTACCAGGAACTCCCACCAGGGCTCAAACCTTCACTTGTCAAATGTCTAACTATTGACTATCCTCCGGGGGATGAGCAGGGTCTCCTTGAGCTGAACTGGCTCCAAAGTGACAGGTTTGTCAATGGAATCTCAGAATCAGTAGTCCAGTTCCTGAGCCAGTTGGGTCTGCAGTACTGCTGATGAAAGTACGGCCAGCCTGGCTCATCGGCAGGAGTTGGAAAGGCAGACTAGTCACTGGACGATTTCACGATCCTCACCCTTGTATTCAAGTCCCTGCACTCCTCTACACCCCCCTACCTCTGACCTCTCTCCTCAAAACAGTACCCGTTGCCTTTGTTCCTCCGGGTCTGGCCTCCTCCTCGTCCCCTGAGTCCTCCCCACCACCCTCGGCTGCCGTGCCTTCAGCCACTATGCCCCGAGGCTCTGGAACTGCCTTCCTCACTCCCTTCATCTCGCTCCCTCCCTTCCCATTTTCAGGTCTCTGCTGAAGACCTTTCTTTTCGACCGCGCCTTTGGTCACCTTCCTCCCCCTCCCCCTGGCTCGGTCCCGGGATCCGTTACTGTAAAGTGCTCTGAGACGCTGTCCTGTGTGGAGGGCGCTATATAAATCCCAAGTTGTTGTTGTTGTTGGACTGATCTGCCCTTCCAACGGTGGACCACCCATTAAACCTGTAAGCCAAAGCCCTAGGTGGTCCTAGCTGGACCTGCAGTGGTAAAGTTTGCCAGGCATTTCTCTGAATGGCAAGCTGTGTGGTTTTAGGTGGTTGGACTCCAATGCACACTCTGGGATCCCCAAGCCTTGGCTCTTGCCAATCTACGCCTAATACTTTCCGGAATTAGGTAAGCGGGATGCGTCCCTCCAGGAAGAAAGTGCCCATTCCATTCCAACAAATACCTCTGGAATTTCCACGTGTAGGTGGGATGCACAGAATTCTCTGTTTGGTTTGGATACTCATAAGCACGGTAGTCGGTTTCTGCATTTGTCACTCAGATGACCAAAGAAAACCTCATCCTTAGTTCAAATTAAATAAAATTAAATATTTAATTTGGAGGAGCGGGACCCATATCACAGCTAGTTGAGTGTCTGCCTCTGGACAAGTCTCATGGTAGTATTACAACAGCAAAGATCATGATAGACTTAGAGTTCTGCTTCCACTGTTGAGAGCAAATTTCGTCAGCTTTCAGTCGGGTCACTTAACCAAGTGCAGAATTTTGCACGATATATCATTCAGCAGGATATGGAACTGCTATTTTTTCCCTACTTGAAGCACAGCTCAGAGATCATAAGGAAGTAACAATGATCAGGAGAAGAACTATTCAACTTGAGGGACTTCCCCCACCAAGTGGCTACTGCTAAAATTGAGAAGGAAAATGAAACTTAGTACTAAGTTACTCGAGGAAACCGTCACAAAAACATTACGTTTTTCCATTTTGGCATATAGCTTTTTTGTTTTTAAAATTAATTGAGATTCTGCATTAAAATTGTAGAATCTTACAGTATGGAAAGGGATCTTTTAATCCTGTTCTGTGCATACATAAATACTATATTTTGAGGAATATGCAATAATGTTGCCTTTGTGGTTATGAGACTTCACAAACCCCTCTGCATACCTAGCAGTGAGTAGGAAACCAGTTGTTAGTCAATTGGCGGATTGCTTTCCAAGGTTAATAATCCCTTCAAAAAAATTATAAATAGAATAATAATAATAATTTGGTCATGCAATCCATCATTGTTTGTGGAACACTACTGTTCGCAATTGGCTGCTGCATTTCGCTCATCAAATGTAGTGAATCCACTTTACAGTATATTCTGTGAAAAGCTTTGCGAGATCTTAATGACTTGATCAAGATTTATATCAAATGCAAGAATTATTATTATAAGCATGTATGTATTGGCCAAATATGGCATATTTTGCAATCCACAAGAAGTTTTAACATTTATTGCCAGATCCTTGTGTTATTCTGTGTATTGTGGTTCATTATCGATATGCTTTATTTTAGATGTATAGTATACATGTACGCATTATACTAAGAACAAAAAACAAAGGGAGAAGTTGGGAGAAAATTTTCTGCGCAGAAAATATTTTTTTTCACATAGGGCTTTTGTAGGATAGCTTTTGTAGGATAGCTTTTGTAGGATAGCCTTACCAAAAATGGTGGTTGAAGCAGAATCCATACTAGCTTTGAGAAGGGAATTAAACAAATGTCTGAAAAGGAAATTTATTTATAATTTATATAAGAATATAACAAAGAGAGGAAAGCTGAATGAAGCAGGTAGTGCTTACAGTGACCCAGCACAGAGAGAATGGTTACCTATTCTTAAAAAAAAGTCTGTGTAGCTCATAAAGTGTTCATCATAACGTTGATGCACAAAAGAGGTCTTAACTATTAATTTTTTTTCAGGTTTTTGTCTTTCAGAAAAGTAAATTGAGATGTGCAATAGATAAAATTTGGGATCTAGTATTTTGAGGTTTAACACAATTGTGGAGTCTGATGACATCACAGCATAAACACGATTTTCATCCAGATAATGAACTTTACTCAGCAGTAATGTTACAGCTCGTAACTCACACCAACACAATTGTTGTGCATAATGTATGGTTTGTAAGTTATTTTTATACTTGTTTGACAAATGTCACAAGTTTGATGAAAGAATCATGAAAATGCAATGTTTTAAGTTGTGTAAATGTATTACTTAATTTCACTATATTTTAGTTACAATGCAGACTTTTGCCCACAATATATAGTCACTCCAATACCGTGAAGAGCTTTGAGATGCTTTGACGACATAAGGTGCTATATCAAAGAGAAAGATTACTATTGTAACTGATAATCCTTATACTGATATATAAGGAGTCATGTAGCTCAATGGTTAGAGCACTCGCCTCACAAGCGAGAGACCTGGGTTCAATTCCCGGCTGGGCTATATGTTGGGCAAGTTTCCTTATTCCACATGCCTCTGTTTACCAAGCATTAAGTAGGAACCCAGATGTTAGTCGGTTGATGGATTGCTTTTCCAGGAGTAATAATTCAAAAAAAATTGGTCACTTTCTGTCATCTTTCACCTCCCCTTCCCCTCAGTCCCACCTTGAGCTCATGTGCCATCCTGCACCGTGAAATGCTTTGAGAAGTCTTCTTGATGTCAAAATGTACATTGTCACTTACATTGTAATAATCCCTTCCAAAAAAATTATTGTCACTCAATCCACGACTGTTTGTGGAACACTGCTATGTGCAATTGGCTGCTGCATTTCGCCCCCAAAATA